GGGAGCCGCAGGGAGCACAGAGCAGAGCTGGGACGGCCAGTGCCGAGCTCAGCCCCTCCGCACGGGTGGGGATTCCTCGTTCTTCCGCCCGGAGAGTTCCCCACCAAAGGGATTCCCAGCATTCCCGCACACCCAGGGCTCTCCGCGACCTCCCCAGAAGGGCCTCTGGAAGGGCCCTGAGTTCCGAGGGTCATTTCCTCAACAGACAGCTGGGAAGTTCCCTCTTCCCCCTTGGCACGAGCACGAGGCCGGTTCTGCTCATGGAACCGGGCCGCCCCATCCAGGAGTGGGGGAACTCCGCTCCCTCTCCCACAGCTTCCCGCTGTCCTTAAGCCAAGAGGATCCCAAAGCAACTCCGCGGTCATTGCAGCCCATGGAGACGATGACGCCGGACACGGAGAAACCTGCTCGGGCACAGGGGGATCCTGAAGGGACCGCACGCGCTGGAGATCCGATATTCCGAGCGCTGGCACCGCGCACAGAGCAGGAGGGAGCGAGCAACGCGTCACCGCTGGGGAGCGGAGCCCGGGCACGCGACGCATCCCCAGCCCCTCAGCTCCTTCTTGGGAGCATCCTCACAGCAACGGGGGCCCTCGTTATCACGGAGCTATCGGCCCGGCACCGGGCTCTGCCAGAACCTGGGTCCGGCACGAAGAGCGACGCCGTTACCTGCATGGGGACCCCGCGCGCATCCCCTTGGCCGTGTCGCTTTTCCCTACTTCATCCATCCCTTCTCCAAGGAGGCGCCTCTGGAGGCACCTCTGGAGCCTCAGGGACCTCCCGGAGGCCACCGGGAGCCGTGCAGGACCTCCCTGGCCGCACTGCCCACGAGAAGGAGCCGGGAGGCCGCGCTTCCCGTGGGAAGGGCAGGGATGCGACGGCTCCTCGTGCAGCAGAGCCCCGGCTGGAAGTCGCTTGTGCCTCTGGAGCGCACCGTGCAAGGGGAGGCACCGAGGGAAGAGCAGGGCAGTTCCCACAGATCCCAGTGCTGAGCCCTGCATGTCCAGAGCCCCGGGACAGGCTGTCCCGGGAGCCTCCTTCCCTGGAGACGTTCCAAACGCTCCTGGTCGCGACCCTGCGCACTGCGCCCGCGGTGACCCTGCAGGGAACGGGACTGGATCCTCTCCAGAAGTCCCTGCCAACCTCAATCCTCCTGCAATTCTGCAAGCTAATTCACTTTTATTAGTGATTTATCAAGTTATAAATCAGAAATAAATTCCTCAAGAGCAGAGGCGGGGTGCTGCAATCCCTGACGCCGGCCGGGCGTCCCGGGAAGGGCCAGGTCCGGCGCTCCCGCGCTCGGCACGAGGGCTCGGCGCACGGGAAAGCATTCCTGTCCCTCGGAGCGGCCGGGGAAGCAGCCGGGCCCACAGAGCCCTTGCTGCGGCCGGGCGGAGTGCCTGCTGAGCCGAGCGCCAGCGGCTGGAAACTCTTCCCTTCTCCAGCCCGAGGGGCTGGGACGCGACGGGGAAGGGGGACAGGGTTCAGGATGAATGGGGATCGCGCCTCAACTCTGCAGCCCCTTGTCTGCACTTTGGATTTCTCCCAGCAGCCTCCATCTGTCTGCAGAACACCAGGAAAGAGGCTCAGGGCCGGCCCGGCGGCACCGACCGTCCTACCCCACGGCTCGGTCCTTCTGCCTCCTTGGGCCGCGTTGCCGCCTCCTGCCCTCCAGGGCAGCTCCGAGCCCTCCCGGCTCTACAGGAGCTGCTCCTTTCCATGGGATTAGGGACGGGTCCCTTCGCCGCAGCAAAAGGGCCCCCGACGCAGCGACTCGCCCGCCCCGCACCGCGTTCGCCCCCGGGACCCCTCGAGCAGAAACCTCTGTGCAGACGCTGCCCTCCACCCCTCTCCCCCCGTCCCGCAGGGCCGTGCGGCCCCTTCGCCCCGGCAGCCTCCAAACCACAGCGGCTCTGACCTGATTCGCACGGGATCCTCTGAAGCCAATTGCAAAAGAGAAGCAAACAGTGAGGAGGTTG